CCAAGTCTGAAAACAGGGCTGTAGAAAGCTACAGGCAATTGCAGTCTTCTAGTCTGTACCACACAGGGAATTCTACTGCCAGTCTGTGGAGGTGATTAAGGAGGAGTTAAGTGGCAGTCACAGAGAAGTGATCAAGCTGATACAGTATGCCTGGAGTTTCAAACAGCATTAGAAATCAAGCTTCCAGCACATAAAAGGGAAAGTCCTCTTGTTAACTAGTGTCAAGTTAAGTGAGAGGAAGCAGGAGATAAAACATGCGCTCAGTGCTCACACTTGGTGAGCTCAGATCCCCAAGGCACATGCACTGGAACTCAATCACAATTTGCAGAAAAGGCCAACACCCTTGTATAGGTGACAAAAACTTAATTCTCCTACCATTCAAGACTGCTAAATGATTTTTTTTTCTTTGTATTCATGGAATTTAAATATTCTCTCTGAAGAGACACCTCTACAAGAGAGGGAGAGACCGAGAGAATAGAGAATAGCTACAGCTAAATTCTGCAGAATGTCTCAGCACTATATGAAGTCAGCAATCTTCTGTGGTCAGCCTGGCAAAGGCAGTTGGAGATCAATAGCATCTGCATCATTATTTCATGCCTGCTCCTCGTTAGTAAGATAGCTTGACAATCACTGAGGGAGAGTGGTTTACAGTGAGCAATGATTAGGTCTGTCTGAAGTCAGACAGGAAGCCAAGATAAGTGAGGTTGAACAGTGGCACTGTAACTCCAACTCTAAATGCAGATATAAACTAATTAAGTATGCCATGACTTTTCCCCCCATTTTTTTTAACCTCTAATTAACAGCTAGTAGAGAGAAACAGATGAAACTCCAAGTCATGAACTTGGGTTTTTTTCCTTTGATTTTTTTTTTGGTTTGGGAGTTTTTGGAGGTAATTTGTTTGTTCTGGTTTGTTTTTGTTATTCCTTCCCCCTCATTAGAATAAATTAGTGTTCCTTCAAACAGGTTATCCTGCCACAGTAAAAAAATTACAAATCTGTTACATTTCAGCTTCATGACATGGAGAAGAATGGCAATATGAGCATATTATACAGGAAGAACAGCAGAACAGCTGCTGCATCCAAAATATTTTAATTCTGGGAAAAAAAAAGAAAAAGCTACTTATCCCATTCAGAAAACAGAAAAGCTTCAAAGGAATCTGGGAAATTACCAGCTGTATCTGAAACTCATGGCCTTCTTATTCACTTCAGAGTGTTTTGGATTAACTTTTTTGCTGCTCACACAAACAGCAAACTAAAAGCTCCTTCTATTTCTGCCTGTGCAATGTATTCCCAGACTGTGGAGCCAACCTTCAAGTAAAACAGTCCCCTTATTACTTAGTTTTAGTAGTGCCTTTTAGAGCCAGTTATGAGTAAATCAGAAGACCTAGAGAATGTACCAACCCCACTGGACTAAGGCAGGGCCATACATTTGGCATGACTTTCAGCACCAGTATCACAGCTTTTCCCAGCTGTGAAAACTACAGTGCTCACAAGTAATGTTTGTGGTCTCCATGAATTCCAAGAAAAATCTTAGCTGCTGTTAGAGGGTTCAGTGTTGTCCTCCTCCAAAAGTTAACGAATTATCTCTGTATATGACTACATTTGGAAGTGTAAATACTTGGGTCTGCAGGACAGAGGACCTTGCTGCATGCAATACTCCTGACCCTTGGTATACCAGAATTTAACATCAAACTAGCAAGTACAGCAAGGCAGTTGTAAAACAAATTTCTCCCTTACATTTTATTTTTCATTTCAAAACAAAAAAATTACTTAAATGAGGAATCTTCCAAGATTCTAAGACATGTCTTGTACTTAATCAAGGTTTAATTTGAACAAAATGATCAAGAAAGTCTGAAAAAAAATTTGTCCCAGTCCTGTGGGATAAATCTATCATATTACAGTTTCCTAAAGATATTTTCTTAAAACCAAAAAAATTTCTAATACTAGCAGTGCTTTTAGGGAGTCAGGCTTATTTTTAATAATAATTTACAGCCAGTGACTCATGGAAAAAATACCAAGAAAAAAAAATACCAAGAAAAGCATTCACATGCAATATTATTATGAGGGACTTAAAAACTGAAAAGAAACCAAAAAATAACCAACAACAACAACAAAAAAAAGAGCATCAGTTAAACAGTTATTCATCTTAAAATCAAGTTTTCTGATATTTGTAGCTATATGACAAATTAAGTTGATATTTGACTGAAACTCTTTTTGACTCAGGTTTAGACAGATATCACAGTGAAAAAAAAAAGGCATATGATATTTCTACCCCTTTAAGGTATTTCATATGAATTCTAGTAAGGTAGAAATTGTAGGAAGTTTAACAGAAAACTTCTTGTGGCTCTATTTGCAAGTGAGCAGCACATATAGTTATCAAGGGGTAAAGTATTCAAATTGTTCATTTATAGAATGATTCACATTGGTGACTTTATCTAAATGAACTATTATGTGAGTAGGATGTTTTAGGAACTACTCAGTATGATAGCATATTCTTTAATCGTGATTAGTTAGACTTACAAATGATTATGGAACATACAATGTGTTGCAGCTTTGGATCATTACCCATGGAAATGTAATTCAGAAGCACAAACAATAATTATTTCCATCACTCCTTCTACTGAAACATAGCTTTCTTTAATTAGAATACTGGTAAGTGAGCACAGCAAATATAAGATTTTTTAACAGTTAATCTGATAAAGAATTAATTGAGCTTTTAACGGAGGAAGTTTAATCCTTCAATCAGTGTGCATACAGATTGTGCTACCTTTTTAGGAACACCCACTAATGTCATGGAGCAACAGATTACTAAAGATGTATTTTCTATGGTGGCAGCCAGCCTCTGGGGCCCTCAGACCTGTCCACACCTCTCAGCAGCAGCAGGGAAGAAGAGACCCACATAACACAGAAGAACCTCACCCTGCTGCATCCCATTCTTTCCATTGGAGAGGTTGGCTATTGCCACAGCATGTTGGGATTTAGGAGACAAATCATGAAGTTTCCCCAAATCTGATGAAGGCAGAGCATGCTGAATTGAACTCTCTAAGCCACCAGAACAACTGTTTAGGGACTTCATTCTGTCTTGGATAGCAGATGTCTAACAGAGAACGTGAGAACCAGTGGCAAACATGGACGATGCCCTTCCTGGCCTGCAAGAGCTTGGCATCCTCCTTGATAATAAACCTCTTCTCTGTATGTAAGAGGCAATTTTACTTTCATTACTGAGTCCCTCAATTTTAGAATGGGCACTAGCATCCTTTATCACTGATGTTCTACTGCAAAGAGTTCCATTCCATTTAATAATCCGTTGTGAGAAACACTTTCTTGTGCTTCAGATGTCTCCTCATTTCATTTGTGCAAGAGTTTTACTGGAACACGAGTGCTGCTTTCAATCTAGCTGGAGAGGGGGTGGTAAAACTGCCTCTCTGAGGATGAAGGAATGGTTGAGAAGCAATGGCTAGGTGTTATTTAGGAGAAACTATACACGCTGATTGAAAGTGAGACTGCACACTAACAGACACAGGACATAAACCATCAACATACATATGAAATCACCAGCACTGATGACAAAGGATTAAGGCATTTCTTGGCAGACAAACTGCCACTTGATGTAAAGGCCCATGAGCATTCATCTACCAGCTCACCTGCCAAGAAATGAGCTTCTGTCAGGACTGGTTAATTAACCTGTACCAATAGCTTATGCAGGAAAAGCCCACACCTGTTTCCCAAGTAGATTTCCAGTGAAAAAAGAAGAAACATAAGTGAAATAATATCTAGCAAAGATCCAGACACCAGCTCCCAAGAACATCTCAATTTTTTTCATTACTGTTAAGTGTCTGACTGCATTTTTTCTCCTGTAAAATTACAAGACTATTCAAATAATAAAACCTGTGCATTTTAAGACAGGAATGTCTTTTCCATACCATCTACACTCAGCACAGGCCCATGTGAAATAAGCAGGTAAGTCTAGTTAAGATATAAAAGTGTCAGAGGAATTTTGTCTCCTTATAACTGCTTTGTCAGGTAGATGACCCAGCAGTACCTGCTAAAACAGCTTTAACATAATGATAAATTTTAACAAAAAATAATCATGCACAGCCATAGAATTAAAGTAATTTAAAGTGACAGGTTCAACTAGTATTTGGGAAATTTACTCATGAAAAAAATTAATTTCCTTGGATTCGTGGAGTTTCTGCTAGTAATTGCTTTGGATTTAAGGAACGATAAATTCAATTTATGGTTAAAGAGTACTAACTTGTGTAATCCTGCAACAAAATACTAGTATAATCCAGAGACAAAACAAGAATTTAAACTAGTAAGATTAAAGAGTTTTCAACTGCCAAGCTAAAACTTGAAAATATACATGTCATTTAAAATGGTACTTGTGACTCTTTTGGCCTTCTCCAAAAATATTATATAAGTAATTGCATTGAGACAAAGCTCTAAGATGAAATTGCATCTTCATTCTCTCCAGAAACCATGGCAGGTAATAGAGATTAATAGGTTATAAATGCTTTAGAGACATTCACATGTATAGGTTTATAGCTGCCTTTTCTTACTTAACATGTCTTCTCCATGTGAGTTGAAGGCTCAGGTTCAGGTATGCAAACAGAAAGTAAGAGTTTAAACAGGTTCAAGGATACACTTGAAACCCATTTGAGAAGCAGGAAGGTGGTGCACCAAACCTACCACTACCACAGAGTAGGAACTCCACAATTACACACTCTAGCATGAAGCCCAGAAGATGTACTGGGTGTGATTCCCACTCAGGATAAAACCTGAAATATCACTAAACACCTAAAAGAAGCAATAGCTTTAGGACTTAAGGAAAGGAGCAGCAATAGAAACAAGAAGATCCATTGGACTGGTCTCCATTGTACAAGCCATTTTCAAAGTTTTAAACAATGGATAAATGAAATTATTTAATTTGGATAAATAAAATTATTAAAATGAAATTTAATGACTTATCTAGATGATGATATATCAGATAAACCATCTTACTTCTTCTCCTGAAAGATAGTAAGCTGAAAGTAGTCCACCGACGAAACGAATGTTGACTTCAAATACGGAAATTTCAGCATTCTGTTGAAACAAATATAAATTTATTTCTATAGAGGTTTATTTTTACATACATACATATATATTATATATATATATACGCATATACATACACATATACAGGTTTTAAGGCACAACAGCCTTAAATATCAAAACACAAAAGATGTAGGGAAGGCCAACACAAGAATTTAAAGCATTTCTTTCTCTTCCTCGCTTTGACAAAATATCCTCGTCCTGCTCAACTTTTCATCCCTTCTTTTGGGCTCTAGGGCTTTCTCCAAATCCACATACCTAAGTACTTATCATTCCCTGCAGATGATTCAGCATTTGCCCAAAAGGTGCTCTTGGATCTCATGTCCCACACTATCTCCCCTCACTCCATCTCAGACAGATCAGTATTGATCAAAATGTCCCATCAAGTGCTTTCCTACTTCAGTCTAAATGCTGCTTACTGCAAACAAGAAGGTAACACTAGAATGAGTTTATTATGTGCTCATAAAAAAATGTAATCATTATGTGTATTCACAAGGAAGATGGTTCCCTATTACAGTGATAGCCCTTTCCAAGCTGGTGTGGATGAATCTTTTACTAATGACAAAGACTTGGTCCAGCCAGTATCTACCTCAAAACTCAAAGCACACTCTTTCCCTGCCTTTTGAAATTCAAGCATAATTGAGGAATCTGAGTCTCACATGCTTTTGTTCTTTATTAAGGCAATTCCAATTTTACTCCAACACTCACTCGAGGCATTCAGCTAAAAAGTTGGTCTAGTGAAGTTTCTAAATTTTTGCCTTTTTATGTAATATTACTGTTTTAATTTCTGTGTTTCTACAGAAAAAGGTATCCAACAGTGTCCCAAAATTTTGGGCACATAAAAAAGGCATTTGACTTTCACATGTTCTGGGTTGCTCTTACTTCTACTGAGTCACTTTTTCTATTTGCCAACATACACTATAGCTATATTTAATATAAATCAGTGCATGGTGGAGCTGATGGATTTTCTTCTGAAAGGCTTGCAGGCTTTTTTCATTTAGCTAGGTTTTGTGCTTTTCCAGTTTATGCATTTAGATGTCAGTTTGTGTAGGAGGGAAGAAGTTGCTCCCTATTTTTTATGGATTTTGAATTGCAGCAAACTGCCTTTACAGAAAAAACAAACAAACAAACCAGCACTGGGCTACTTAACAGAAATATTATTTCATGCTTTTCAGTTTCCAAGGTGCTCTGATTAAGAAAAGGTACCTAGACACCTTGCAGAGTTGGTGAGCTTCTTGTAAATTGTAAAGGTACAGGCTTCAAAACACATTCTCAGGCTTGCTACAGTGCTAGTTGGTCTACACCCAGGAATTTAACTTTTCTCCTCCAAAATGTATTCTGCACTTCCCCCTCTAAAAAGAGGACATAATTTCCATTCAGAATGACTCTGATTAATACATAATTAATATAGTATGTGTGTGCCTGTAAAATTTTTTAACACATGTGAGCACAATTCAAAGGGGCTGACAAAGTAAAGCCATCACACATATCTGACCCTTGAAAACTCAGACTGGCATCATGGCTGAAGACTGCAAAATTATCTTGCTGTCTTGCAGTGTTCAGAACATAACATTCTTACAAGCTTATTTTGAGTAATCTAAATAATCTAAATTTGAGTAATCTTTGCAGTTTCTCCTCTGTCACTGCTCTCTCCCACTGCTCCTCTCCTATTCTTTCTAAGAGAAATGACAAAGTCTAATTTCTGCAGCTTAATTTCTGTTTCCAAAATGCCTTTTATTCAAATTCTGTTATTTCTCTTTACAAGTGTTCAGTCATTGTCTCACTGAATGCAGCAATAAGGCAAATGGAAACAGGTATTCATCTCAACTTCAACATTCCTCAGCAGGCTTTTTTATTATGCCATGATCCATATTAAACCTGGGGAGGCGGATACAACAACATTTAAATTCTCTAGAAATCTGAACTAACTAGATGATGCATCTGTTCACCTGCTAATCAGGCTACCTGTGTTGGAACTACAGTACATGTACATTAAATACAGAAGTACACCTGAAAATCCAACATATAATACAGCTGGTAGAGAACTGATTTGACTAAAGAAAGGCTGATCTGACCTGATCTGATTGAAGAAAGGGTGATCAAATGAGTGAAAGGGGTGGCTTCTCTTCTGTGGAGACTGATTTTTATGAATAGTATGAGAATATGAATATGTGAACCTTCTTCAGAAGTTCAGGTCCTTTCCATTTCAATCCTGAGACTTAGCACATGTCAAGTACCTTTCTTTGATGTGGGAAGGTTGAAGCTGTAAAGAGGTAGGTCTCAGATGAGGAAATGAGTTAATCAGATATCCCAGACACTTGTGTTTCCTTTGAGAACTGAATTAAATTACTTTTTGATTTTCAATTGCTTGAAGTAAATTGAGTGGTGTATGACCTGAATATTTTGTCTCCAGAACTTTACATTTTGCCTTTCTGGATTTAAATATGACCACTTAACTCCCAAAACCATTGCTATCTTTCAAGGAGTGCAAAGGCCCTTTAAGGAAGGCTCAGTATTTGTGCACTGACATCTGCTTCTGGAAATCAGCTACAGACAAGAAGACTACTTGGAAATAATTTGAATAAAGGTTTTACTGTTGAGCCACAAAGATTAATTGCACTGTAATACTGAACATGTGTTGAAGGGGTGATCTTTCAGGACATTTCTCGAAGGCAACCATTGTTCTAATGTCATCAGATTCCCAATAGGTCACTTGAACCTCTGAACCTTCATTTGGAATATTTGCCTCTTACCAAAATCTTTATGCAAGCCACTGAAGCAGGCAAACACTGCAACAGTCATTTCATGAATGGTAGGTTTGAAATCTGTATGCCTGATAGTTATTCCTAAACTCATTGTACCAGGTTAATATTATTCTCAGCACACAAATAACTGTAAGTGGCAAAACAATTAAAGTTTTATAATTTCACATCAAGAAAACATATCTACATGTTTTTGTGAAGGAAAGTTTGTGTGAAGAAGTAGTCTGTTAAGAAAAATGAACTTTTCCTAAAAGTAGAAGATTTCTGCTACACCAAATTTACCCTTCTTCCTGGTTTGATTTTTAAAATTTTTGTATGATCTGACACATTGAAAATGCCATACCCTGATCATTACTCTCTTTTCATACATTTAATCATCCACATACAGTTTGCACAAATGAGTCTGTATATTTCTACTCCACAGTAAAATTCTAAGTAAGCAATATTATTTTTTATTTTGCTCTCAGATCAATCTGTATATGAATACCTAAAGATTCATTTAACAGTACCAGAATATATCAGAAAAACTTTCAGCTGAACTTCCCAAAATTTCTACTTCACCATCTGTAGAAGTGAGAATAAAATAATTTTTTTATTTTAAATTTCGCCTTCTCTTTCAAACAGTTATTGTATCACCTACATAGCAAGTCTGAGAAGTGGTTGAATTAATTCCACTACTTCTAATGGAAATTCTGTAAGGTGAAGTGATTGGACATGCATATTTCAAGATTAATAAGATGTTCCCTTTTTAAGGTACCAAGTGTAAAAGACAGGTCTGAACAACTGGATAAATATAATTTCCAGTTTTATGGTCTTTACATTAGTACCCCAAATAGACTGTGCTCTGTATGAGAATATCTGAAACACCTTTGTTAGTACACCTCTTATCTATGCTAACGTCTAAACATCAGTTTGATCTGATATTTGCTGGCCTCACTTTTAGAAAGGATTCTGAAAGTCTGCAGGTACTTGGAAAAGAGTTACATGTATTTGGAATAACATGTTTTTGTTTTAATTCCAGGGCTTTTATGTTAATTGTAGAATGTGAGTAATGTGGTCTTTCATCTTATATTTATTCAGTAATTTATCATTCACTATTTGAACCATAAATGGAATAGTCCAACTACTATACAAGATCCAGAGAAATTGTGACTTCTGATCAGTGTACTTGAGAAAAAAATAGAAAACAAAAAGCAATGCATGAATCCAATATGTGCTGTGAGAGCAAAGCTGACAGGTTTCAGAAATTTCATCTGATTTTTTTATTAGCATCTAAAGATGAAATTACTTTGATGCAGACATACAGCATCCTTTACATTACTGACTAGATGCTGTCGAGGTTTAGGGCAAATTTGGAGGAGAATCTCCAAATTAGGGCTCCTCCAGTTAGCAAACCCACACAGCCCCTCCCCCCAACCGGTTCGGGAAGGATTTCTCGGAGAGGAGTGGAAAGAACCTGTTTATTTAACAAGCACAGCACCCCCCAGCACACAAAATGAACAATACCGGATGACACCACTCTGAAAAAAGATGACAAATTCAGAAAGTCTCTCTGGGGGTGGTCACTCTGGTCTCAGTCCCTCCGGCGCTGGGGCTGCTGCTGCAGGCCAGAAGGTGCAGGATCTTGGTGTTTCTCAGGTCCCAGTCCGGAGCAGGTTCGAAGTGATCAGAAAAAGGAAAGGAGAAACCGTCCAGGAAGAAATTGGACAGTTTAGCTGAATTAGCTAAAGAGCAAAAGCAAGCAGAAGCAAAGCGAGCAAGAGCGAGAGAGCAAAAGCAAAAAGCAAAAGCAGCAAAAGCAAAAGCCGCAGTCTCCGTGTCCCGCCAGGCTGATAAGAAAACCAAAACAAAACTTTCCCTCTTCAGAGCCGGTCTTAAAGGTACAGAACATAATATCCAATATTAACAGAACACATGAATGGGGATACAAGCATCATAACGTCACCCTAGGACATTCCACCCCTTATCCCCATATCATCAACATACTACCACACATCATGCATTTATTCATACAAAATTTTCATCTGCTCCCCCACAATTTACAAGCAACACTCATTATGTCCTCATCACATCCCCACACTGGACCACTGAATCCATGCCCTATACTACAGGGCGGCAGGATTCCACCCCTTTCACCTTACTCACTCAAAGCTCCATCTATCACTTGCTCAGACCTTCGACACTTGCCCATCTCCTTCTCCATCTCCCACTTGCCCAGACCTTCAACACTTACACATTTCCTTCTATCTCATGTCTGTATGGTTTTCTCACCCCACAATCAGATCTCCCTGTGGTACACATCGTGTTGTTCCATCTCTTTGCATTATCCACCATGTGCAACCTGGTCCCTGAGCAAAGACAACCCCACGAATGGGTTTGTCTGTACTCAAGGCAGAATTGACCCACACATTCTTCCCTAACAAACCTCTGACACGTACCACTGGGACTTTATCTCCATCTATTACATTCAGGGACTCAGACTGGGCAGGACCTGCTCGGTTGGTGGAACCTCGGGTGTTAACTAACCAGGTGGCCTTTGCTAAATGCTGCTCCCAATTTTTGAAAGATCCCCCACCCAAAGCTTTTAGCTGGGTTTTTAGTAGTCCATTGTACCTCTCCACTTTGCCTGCAGCTGGTGCATGGTATGGGATATGGTACACCCACTCAATGCCATGTTCGCTAGCCCAGGTGCTGATAAGGCTGTTCTTGAAATGAGTCCCATTGTCTGACTCAATCCTCTCAGGGGTACCATGTCTCCACAGTATTTGGTTTTCCAGGCCCAGGATGGTGTTCCGGGCAGTAGCATGAGACACAGGGTAGGTTTCCAACCATCCAGTGGTGGCTTCCACCATGGTCAGCACGTAGCGCTTGCCCTGGCGTGTCTGGGGCAGTGTGATGTAGTCTATCTGCCAGGCCTCCCCATACTTGTACTTGGACCATCGCCCACCGTACCACAGGGGCTTCACTCGCTTGGCCTGCTTGATGGCAGCACACGTCTCACAGTCATGGATAACCTGTGAAATACTGTCCATGGTTAAATCCACCCCTCGGTCTCTTGCCCACTTATAGGTGGCATCTCTGCCCTGATGGCCTGAGGCATCATGGGCCCATCGAGCTAGGAATAACTCTCCCTTGTGTTCCCAATCTAGGTCTATCTTTGACACCCCTATCTTTGCTGCCTGGTCTACCTGCTCATTGTTTTGGTGCTCCTCATTGGCTCTACTCTTGGGGACATGGGCATCTACATGGCGGACTTTCACAGGTAGCCTCCCTACCCTGGTAGCAATGTCTTTCCACTCATCAGCAGCCCAAATTGGTTTTCCTCTACGCTGCCAGTTAGCCTTTTTCCACCTCTCCAGCCATCCCCACAGAGCATTGGCTACCATCCATGAATCAGTGTAGAGGTAGAGCTTTGGCCATTTCTCTCTTTCTGCAATGTCCAGGGCCAGTTGAACGGCTTTGAGTTCTGCAAGTTGACTTGATCCACCTTCTCCTTCAGTAGCTTGTGCAACCTGTCGTGTGGGGCTCCATACGGCTGCTTTCCACTTCCGGTTCATCCCTAAGATGCGACAGGAACCGTCAGTGAAAAGAGCATAGCGTGTTTCCTCTGGGGGCAGTTGGTTATATGGAGGAGCCTCTTCAGCCCGTGTCACTGGTTCTTGTTCTTCATCTGTGACACCAAGATTCTCACCTTCGGGCCAATTTGTAATTACCTCCAAAATCCCAGGGCGATTTAGTTTACCTATATGGGCGCGCTGAGTGATAAGAGCAATCCACTTGCTCCATGTGGCACTGGTGGCATGGTGAGTGGAAGGAACCTTGCCTTTGAACATCCACCCCAGCACCGGTAGTCGGGGTGCCAGGAGGAGTTGCGCTTCTGTACCAATCACCTCTGAGGCGGCTTGGACTCCTTCATAGGCAGCCAAGATTTCCTTCTCTGTGGGAGTGTAGTTGGCCTCAGAGCCTCTGTAGCCTCGACTCCAAAATCCCAGTGGTCGACCCCGAGTCTCCCCAGGTACCTTCTGCCAAAGGCTCCAGGACAAGCCATGGTTCCCGGCTGCAGAGTAGAGCATGTTCTTCACATCTGGTCCTGTCCTAACTGGGCCAAGAGCTACTGCATGAGCTATCTCCTGCTTGATCTGGACAAAGGCCTGTTGCTGCTCAGGGCCCCAGTGGAAAGTGTTCTTCTTGCGGGTGACCAGGTAAAGAGGGCTCACGATCTGACTATACTCAGGAATGTGCATCCTCCAAAAGCCTATGGCACCTAGGAAAGCCTGTGTCTCTTTCTTATTGGTGGGTGGAGACATTGCTGTGATCTTGTTGATGACGTCTGTAGGAATCTGACGCCGTCCATCTTGCCACTTCACTCCCAGGAACTGAATCTCACGAGCTGGTCCCTTTACTTTGCTCTTTTTAATGGCGAAACCAGCTCCCAGGAGGATTTGGATGATTTCCTTTCCTTTCTCAAACACTTCCGCAGCTGTGTTCCCCCACACAATGATGTCATCAATATATTGCAGATGTTCTGGAGCCTCACCCCTTTCTAGTGCAGTCTGGATCAGTCCATGGCAGATGGTGGGACTGTGCTTCCACCCCTGGGGCAGTCGGTTCCAGGTATACTGCACTCCCCTCCATGTGAAAGCAAACTGAGGCCTGCATTCTGCTGCCAGAGGAATGGAGAAAAATGCATTGGCAATGTCTATAGTGGCGTACCACCTCGCTGCCTTGGACTCAAGCTCGTACTGGAGCTCTAATATGTCTGGCACGGCAGCACTCAGTGGTGGAGTCACCTCATTCAATGCACGGTAGTCCACAGTCAATCTCCATTCTCCTTCAGATTTTCGCACAGGCCAAATGGGGCTGTTGAAGGGTGAGTGGGTCTTGCTGACCACCCCTTGGCTCTCCAGCTCACGGATCATCTTATGGATGGGGATCACAGCATCTCGAGTGGTTCTATACTGTCGTCGATGCACTATGGAGGTGGCAATTGGCACTCGTTGATCTTCTCCCATCAGACATCCTACTGCAGATGGATTCTCAGACAGCCCAGGCAAGGTGTTCAATTGCTGGATGCCCTCTGTCTCTACAGCAGCTATCCCAAATGCCCACTTGAGTCCTTTTGGGTCTTTGAAATACCCACTTCGAAGGTAGTCTATGCCCAAAATACATGGGGCCTCTGGGCCAGTCACAATAGGATGTTTCTTCCACTCATTCCCAGTGAGGCTCACATCAGCTTCCACCAAAGTGAAATCCTGGGATCCCCCTGTCACACCAGCAATAGAAACAGACTCTGTCCCCACATGTCTCGACGGAATTAATGTACATTGTGCGCCAGTATCAACCAAAGCTTTATACTCTTGTGGTTCCGATGTGCCAGGCCAACGAATCCACACAGACCAGAAAACACGATTTTCCCTGGCCTCTACCTGGCTAGAGGCAGGGCCCCTCTAAGCCTGGTTATCCTTCTTTCCCTGGGCATATGTCTTGGATGTTCCTTCAAGGGGATCAGACATGGCATCATCAGCATCATACCTGGTGGTTCGGCTACGGGCAACTGGAGCTGCTTTCTTCCTGGTGGCTTCCTTCAATTCACGCACCCGTCGTGCCAGAACAGCAGTAGGTTTTCCATCCCACCTCCTCATATTTTCTCCACAGTCACGCAGGTAGAACCACAGCTCTGTTCGTGGGGTGTACCTTCTCTGGCCATCTGGGGAACGTCTGCCTTGGATACCAGAACCTCTGATCTGTACTGCCGAGATTTGGAGAAGGTCTTCTTTAATCTCCTCTCTGAGCTTCTTATGATTCTCCTCTATCTTATCCTCTAAGTTCTGCAGACGTGTTTCTACTGCTGCAATTCTGGCATGTGTTGGGCCATGCACAGCATCTGCATATGCTCGGAGCTTCCTTGCCATATCCAGCACAGTCTCGTCCCTCTCATCCCGCTTCATTATGGCTAGGGCAGAAGCATATTCGTGTGGCCCAAGTCGCACAAGTTTCCGCCACATCACAGACGTGCATGGCACCAAGTCTGGGTTCCTAGTTGTCACATCATCTGAGAAGATAATCTCTGCCACTGCCATCTCTCTCAGGCGTTGGATCCCTTGCTCTATGGTCTTCCACTGTGTCTGTTGCATATAAAGATCATCTGCACACAGGTATCTTTGTGCAACACTTTCCAAGACCCGTGCCCAGAGGCTCTGAGGGTTTGCCCCCCTCATCATTCCTTGGTCAATGACAGGATCATGTGACAGGGATCCCAAATGCCTTGCTTCTGTGCCATCCAGAATTGTAGCCTCGCCTGCAGCATCCCAGAGACGGACTAACCAACAAATTATGGATTCATCAGGTCGTCGGGTGTAATCCTTCCGTAAGCCACGAAGGTCCTTCAGGGAAAAGGACTCAATATTTGCATCGGGTCTTGCACCTGCTACTTTGACTCCTGATTTTATGTCAGGAGGCATTGAGGTTCCTTCTGCTGCATCATCATCATCATCATCATCCACTGGTCGATTGGTCTTGTCTGTGCATTTCCCACTTCTGGTACTGGTAGCAACAGCCATTGGTTTAGCTGCTGGCTTAGGCTCACTATCTGGTTTGGCTGCTGGCTTTGAGCCTGTGGTGTTGGCTGCAGCCTGAGTGACTGGGATAGCTGATTTATCTCCCTGCCCCCCTGCCTCCGTCTGCTGTCCTACAGTCTCCAACAGAGTGCGATAAGCATATGCCAGGGCCCAGCTCACTGCAATGACCTTTCTCTCCTTAGGCTCATCTTGGTATTTCTCTTTCAGATATTTCCCCACCTCAGCTGGGTTCTGAATTTGTTTATGGGGAAAATCCCAGACTATAGGGTCGGAGAATTCCTTCAGGATGTGGCCCATTTCCTCCCATTTCCCACACCACTCAGGATGTTTCACACCTGGGTCTACTCCTAAGTCAGGGGTCTCATCAGCCCGTCTAGAAATCTCAGCCCTCATTCTGGAGAGACAGCAGACTGTATAGAGGAAGGTTACCAGATTGAATACAAGAAAGATGGTTTCTCTAACATTCAGGGGAAACTGAACATCCTTTACTACTGACGCAACCGATTCATAGGAGAGGAAGGAAACCAAAGGCTGAAAAGCCTCATTCCCTGCTGCTCCTCCTCTAACAAACTGGACGAATAACCATAGCCAAGAACCATTCATACCTGGAGCAGACCCCAACATGTTTATAAACTTCTTGCACATCATTGCCATCAAGCCCAGCAGGATAGCCATTCTGGTCACTGCCCCTCTGCTGTAAAAACTACGTATGAGGGACAATACTAGAACTATTTCAGGATAGGAAAATAAACCTAGGGACCACAGAGGTATTAAAATCTCGAAAAACCCTAGGGACCAGAAGCACATGCAAGCCTTCACCCCAACACTCATCATGAATTCAAAAAGCATGGCTATTAGCTGCTTCAAACAGAGAGTAATGGCAACCAAAATACCCACAAAACAGGCTTTTTCCACTCACTCTCTCGAGCCCAGCGTTGGGCGCCAAGATTTTGTCGAGGTTTAGGGCAAATTTGGAGGAGAATCTCCAAATTAGGGCTCCTCCAGTTAGCAAACCCACACAGCCCCTCCCCCCAACCGGTTCGGGAAGGATTTCTCGGAGAGGAGTGGAAAGAACCTGTTTATTTAACAAGCACAGCACCCCCCAGCACACAAAATGAACAATACCGGATGACACCACTCTGAAAAAAGATGACAAATTCAGAAAGTCTCTCTGGGGGTGGTCACTCTGGTCTCAGTCCCTCCGGCGCTGGGGCTGCTGCTGCAGGCCAGAAGGTGCAGGATCTTGGTGTTTCTCAGGTCCCAGTCCGGAGCAGGTTCGAAGTGATCAGAAAAAGGAAAGGAGAAACCGTCCAGGAAGAAATTGGACAGTTTAGCTGAATTAGCTAAAGAGCAAAAGCAAGCAGAAGCAAAGCGAGCAAGAGCGAGAGAGCAAAAGCAAAAAGCAAAAGCAGCAAAAGCAAAAGCCGCAGTCTCCGTGTCCCGCCAGGCTGATAAGAAAACCAAAACAAAACTTTCCCTCTTCAGAGCCGGTCTTAAAGGTACAGAACATAATATCCAATATTAACAGAACACATGAATGGGGATACAAGCATCATAACGTCACCCTAGGACAGATGCATAACACCAAAGTTATGTTAAAATTTCTTTTTTAGTAGAAGAAAACCCATCGCTCAGAAACACTCAAGATGCTGGAGAAAATTACAGATATAACTAGGAAACCTATTATACTAACTCCTTTTAAAGAAAGGGAGAGTGACAATGACTTAGCAAGACATATCTTCAAAAAGCAACAAATATAACCAAACAAGGAGGGGGCAGGCAGAATAAAGTGCCAAGACTTATATTAGTTAGCCTGTGTTACTCTGCATTTCTATTCTATTTGCAAACCTATGACAGGGCCAATTTGATCTCAGCTGCATCTCACCACTCAACTTCCCTCACCCTTCCCTAAACTGCAGGATTACAACTGCAACTGGTAAACTATTGAGGCTTCAAACAGCTGTTATATTGAATTTAATATTGAAAACATTGTTCAGACAACAAACTACTGTCAACTGGGCTCTCCTGAAGGTCTTCTCCCATTGAACTCCTCCAGCTTCCCAAAAATCGGTATTCATATCCTTCTGGATCATTTCCTAATGCATCTCATTCCTGATAATCTTCCTCTCCACAATTCACAGACCAAGGCCAAAACAATTTCCATCGGTATTTTCTCATGGGAAGTCACCCTCCCTTATAAACACAACATTTGAAACACAACACTCTTTTATTTATCCACCTGGCACTCACCAGCAGCACTGGTTACATGTTCTGTCATTCAAAATTCAGCTGGAGAAAATACTGTGTGCTCTTTACACAGATGAATGTATTCCCAATGAACAAATCACCTTAATTTACATTTGATAAAGAGCTTACTCTCTTAGTTTTTATAAAGATAACAAAAAATAATGCCACAAGTCCTAGCATATCATTTGTTTCAGTCTTCTCTATTGCAAAGATTCCTTCCAAAACCTTCCTTCCTTTGGTTCTCCTGTTCTTGTATCATCAAGAGTGTACAGAACTTCAGCCATCTCATCTGCATTTCCATCTATTGCTCCTGTGTAGAAGGAATATAGCAACTCCCCCCCCATGCACACACACCATGGCAAGCAGCCCATACCCTGAAGTTTAACAAGCTGTGCAAGAGAACACCAGGGAGCCTGTACTCAACAATGCTGAATAATGTATATAATTCTAGACTAAAAAGTGGACACAAAGGGCCCACATTTCCTGTGAAATGAGATGAACTTGTAATTATTATTACTATTAAATAATAATATTCCCCTGTTGAAGCACAAAGGTTGGGAACAGCAACAAATCCTAGCATTTTCAAGCAGCCCAGGAATTACAATAGAATCACAGATAGTACTACAATAGCTCACTTTCAACTATTGCAATTAAACAAGATTTTAATTACCTGCAATTGTGGGGGAAAAAAGTTTCATTCATATTCCACAAATGAAAGTTACTGGCAGCTTGCTAAAATATTCAGTTCCCAAAGACATGGGAAATAATCTTAGCAACCTTTTTATCACAAGTGTCAAAGCCTTGTTATTGCATAACACATTATTTAACCTTGCTGAAGTCCCTGCATTGCAAACTGCAGGCACAAAAATAAAGTGCTACTGAAGGCATTAATAAACTCTAGCAGCAAAAGAACTGTGTTTAGTAATGAATTTGCCGGATCTCGTTTTAGCCCATCAAAATTGGTTCTTACACATAATTAAAACAAAATCAAGTCACTTTGAAGTCTGGCATTTATGTGTTATGTGGCAAACTAGTAATCAAATAGTCCCACAAACTAAAGAACCATTTTCACCTGCTGGCTTAAGATTTCTCTCTGACCCATGACTTTTTTTTTCTTTTTTTTTTCAAATGGGAAAGCTGTTCCAAATAGCTGTATTAGGAAACTTTCTGATTTTTTCACTTGAACAGGAAAAATACCATGAATAAAGAGCCAAAAAACTATAATGTTCCAAGTTAGAACAGTAGGTTGTTGACTGTAAAATACAAGTCAATCATAATACCTACAGTTTGAAAATAGGATTTAGGTTTGTAAATGCTGAAGTTTGAAATAAGCAAACTGAAGTCTGGAAGTCTGTACTGTTACTGACTGCCACATCACAGATACAACTGAGTCAATGATAAATGCTGGAAGCCTTATTTATGCAAATAATATTTGCTATTCTGGGACCTTGCAAAGGGGGTATGCTAATCTATACATGACAATAGAAAAACCCCCATAACTTCAAGTTTCTCCACTTTCACCAGTTCTTTTCCAGTTCTCAAATAACAGGCATGTCACTCACAAAACTTCTAGGTTGCATGAAGCTGCTGACCAAACCTCTTGGAAAGACACTCAGATTTGCTGAGCTAAGCACAAAGATGAAAGTCAGAAGTGGTAAGTTAGCCTTCAAGCTTCAAAAGTGGTATATAAAATCAGATACAGTGACTGACCGCTGCTTAAGAGCATTGGTAGGACACAAGACAGAGGGCACCCTCACCTTCTTCCTCATTTCCTTCTCTTTATGCAGTTCCTCGATTCATTAGTACCTGTCTTTGAGAGCAAATAATGAAATGCCCTTCATACTTTCCTTATTTCTCTCTTATCTGAGCGAGTGCATGGCTTTCTGCTCCATACCTTGTTCCCATTCTGATCTTGTCTGGCTACACTTCCATCAGACAGCTGGTCAGTTGGTCAGGGTATGAATCCAAGTCCTGTCCTGTGTACAATTTGATTGCTAGCACCTTCTGGTCTTGCTGTGGGTCCCTGTTGCTCCAAGTCAACGCCCAGACACGCTTTAGGACACTGTGTAGACCAAGGACTGCTCCCAGTAGGCAGTAGAGGCAAGACTGCCCTTTTGCACAGAAGGAGTTTAGCAGGGCTGAGGAAGAAGGGGATGGACCACTTGGTCACTCATCCTAAACATACTGGGGTGTGTTTGGGCATGGATGCAGAGCACCATCGATCCAATACTGAACAACTCCCAAACCCTCTCTGCTGCACCACGCGGCTCAGTTCCTGCACCACTACTCCCCAACACCTGACCCCTTCATCTGCCTCATCAAGATCCCTTTTCCTCTCTCTCTCTTCCCAAGCATGTATTCAATGTTATTTGGCCCCGGGACTGCAGAGACCAATAGCTTTTTCCTCCCCAGTGTGAAGCAGAAGTGGGGTGGTGCTACAGAAACTCCTTCAGAATGCTCTGTGTGTGTGTGTGTGTGTGTGTGAAGCTTCTGAAACAAATAAGAAAAAATAAGATCAGAGGAGCAGACAGCATGCATAGTTGTAGCTAGGAAACAGCCAAGTTCCCTAAAAATCCCATTATAGACAGGTTCCCTTTTCCTGCCTTGTAACCTGCTGATACAGAGCCCAGCCCATCTGCTGCAGCCTTGGGCTGTGCACTGTGGAGGGGCGTGTGGGCAGCAGCCTGTGTGGGGAGGTCAGAACAAAGCCTTGGCTATATTAATTAGAAGAGCAAAGATGAATCCCCCAGAGACATGAAGTGATTTAAGAGAGAACAGAGCACATATCCATCGTGCTACTCAAAGCTAAGACCATGGATTTAGCCACTGCAAATGTCATCTTTTTCCAAAAGTATGTCTATATCTCTTATAATATTGACAGAATCAGAAAATGCAACATAATTCCTGAAGGAATGGCTCAGTTTAGCTCAAACTTCTGCAAGGTTTCAAATTTAAAAAAAAAAGTCAGCAGTTGTGACATAAAAAAGCTCCAAGCATTGCAATGTGGATATCTCAGTTATAAAATCACAGGGCTACCAGCTGTAGCTTTAATGAAAATAGCCTGTGTTATACTCCAAAAGGGAAAGCTTCTAAACATACCCACTGACAAGCTTACTAAAGTGCACAAGTTTGCCAAGAAAGGTGCTGCTGACTTGACTAGAGTTTTCCCTCAAAATCAAAACCTATCTTCGGAAAGGTAAAGAAGAGCAACCCTGACATCTAATTCATTGAACTGCGAGATTGAAATCCAACGCATAAGGAGACGTTGCCATTTCCCATTAAGTCATCTTTATTCCATAAATCCTTTCATGTGGATAAACTAGTGCCTACTTTACAAAGTAACACCAGGCAACTTTTATGATCAGGTGTTGAGAGTGGTGTGAGTGCTGGCCAAATAGTTTGGTGAATCTTCTGGAGTTTGTAAAATTTTCCTATATCCAGCTGCATTGAGAGAGAACATAAGGAGTAAAAATTCTGCTACAGAATACAGTCACAGCAATTTTTGGAAATAACATCTTAAAGAAAATTAAAGATTTGAAAGACATGGTTCTAAGAATAAATGAAGAGAAAAACATATTCTACTTATGGAAATAAAGGGTAAATACGCTGATTAAGCAGTCCCTGCCCAGGAAATGATCAGAAACATCAAAGACAAGTTTATACTACTCAGAAGAAATAACTCTTAAGGATATGTGAGTCAGTTATTCCAAATAAATCACTTTAATGGAACAAAGGTTTCTAAAACAGAAGCAAGTAATAGTGTACATAACATTTTTGCAGAATATGTCATGTAAGGTCTGATACATGATAAACACTTCAACACAAAAGAGAACTGCTGTTCTTTAAACTGTAAGATATAAATACAAAATGGCATTTGAATCTAAAATCTATACTTAAAGTGGAAAACTAAATAAAAGTGCAAGTTGAGTAGCTTCCAACAATCCAGCCGCCATTAAACAAACGGGCATCCATTATTAAATTTGGCATCACAGTTATTTATTTTAATTTCCTTGTTCCAGTTTGGGAAAATTCATCTACTCACTGCTGATGCCAATGTAAAATTCAATTACATATGATTATGAAGTATTATGAAAATAATTTTGTGAGGTGTTGAACTCCAGGCTGCTATTTACAGGAATATCAGTAACAATATACTGTTAGTGACGCACGTCAATGTTATCTGTGAAGCTGCTTTGGTAAATCAGCTTGACTCCTGCATTGAACAGCTATTGGAATATGAAATTTCCGACATTTTCTTAGCTTATAAGCATTACTGAGAAAAAAAAGGTACATCAAAAAGAGGAAATGTAGACAATACCATCTAAAAGTTTCCAGTACGAAATATATCAAGATATATGTAAACCCAAAGATTTTCATGTTAATAATGTAAATCACTTTACAAAGCTTTACAATGTTCCTCCAAGTAGAGCACAGCTCATCCTTTTAAGTGGAGTTTGTTATTTTCTGCTGTCTTATCCTGGTTTTTAAACATCTTGATAATACCAAGCTAATAAGACAGGAATTTAGTATTACAAAAATACCTTTAGGGAAAAAAAATTTATGCACAAAATAAAATTAGTATGTCATTCAGTCTTCTGACACTACACAGGAGCACTGTTTAATATCCTCTATTTACATTCTAAATGTAAATATAAATGCATACTAAATTACTGCTTATATAAACTATGCTACATCCACTCTTATTAACTCCTTAAAAGGATAATTAATTTTCAAGCATGGAAGAGACCCTAATTAAACCTGACTTTTGCATAACTTATTAGAAAGAGTACTTTGTTTTCAGAAAGTGTTTCTAACATTAAGCATGTCAACTACAAGAGCTTTCAAGTGCTCAGTATACTGTGCTTACTTTACAGTGATCAGAGGTGCTTCATCAGCTCTCTGCTCCCAACAATAAATCCTCTGGCCCCAAAAATAAAAACCCAAAAGGAAAAAAAAAAGAAACAAATACTAAACCCAGGACTTTGCCATTTAATTGAAGAGGTTCCTACTTGTTCAAGGCCTTTCTAGAATAAAAATTTAATAATGAACTTTGCCCTCAGCTGCACATTTGCCACTTAATAGGGTGATTTGTATGTGCAGATGTGAGGACCTGATGCTTCCTAAGACTAAAGCAGTTCAGATGTGCCAATAGTTCAGCCTAACTCATAATATTCAACTTTACTGGAGTAGACAAAGGAACCTAAGTAGTATGTATGGCATGTACCTTTCCATAAACACAACTAAAATCTGTAGATTTCATAAAGGGAAAATGTAAAAGGTTTGCATAATGAAAAAATTAATGCTTGAAGGGTCCCAATTCTTCTATCCAAAAAAGCTGAAAAGGCTGTTTTTTACTTTATAATGACAAATACTCTATTTCCTTTTTCCTTCCTCCAGTCCAGCTCATTGCCTTCCATCTACCTAAATCTCTCTGATTGAAAAAGAGCATATAAGCAGAGCAGTAGATTTCCTATCTTTCAGCTTCCTGCTTTATCTATCAATAATCTAAATTCTTTAGCCTTGCATTATGCTTGTAATACCAAGAACCCAGTCCTCAGTTGGCACTTGGAGACTAAACAGAGCATTAAAATTTAATCAGCAATGCTCCTTACCACATTGAAATCCAAGTTTTTTTCAACCCACTCCTTGGCTTCCTTGAACTCCTCTTTCATTTCCATGATGTATAGTGTATCAAGGGCATCCACGATTGTTGCTCCTTGTATGTTACCTGAAATACATGAAGAGCCAGCAATTTACTTTCCAACAGAAGACTTTTCAGTTAGATCTAATTAATTTAAATTAATTCTAATTTCAAAATCCAATTTCAATTAATCCAGTTAAAAACTGGGTGCATAAGCATTCAAGTGGTAACTAGTAATTCACAGCCCTTTGACTCCCATGCCACAACACAACATCATAATATTTAAGTATTTCTTCCACTAATGAACTTTTGAAGAGCTGCTCTAATGCACTGTATTTTCAGCCATATTTTTGCATTTTAAACCACTGACAGAACAGTTCACTGTAAAATGACACAAAACCCAGTAAATCTCGGTAATTGAGAAATTCCTGTTTCTTCCAGTTTGGAACAAAAACAATCAGCTGGTTTTTTGTTTTTATACTCAAACATATACATAAAGCTTTAAGAAGCTGGTGAGTACTGATCCCATTTTAGTTAGGAAAGCCCTTTAAGAAGTACAGTCTGCACAAGATAGCACTGGGGGAGGCAAAGGCAAACCTGCACACATGGATTTGTCAGCTCAGGAAGGGCTGCAAGGCACTGGTTTTCAGACCAAGGCACTGGTGGTCTGCAAAACTGGCACCCTTCTACCCCTGTTACAGAGATAGGTAAGAGCTAGCCTTGACCTAACACTGCAAGATGAAATATCACCAGTATGTTGGCTTTGGAATGGATTAAATGCTCATCATCCTGTACTGAAAGGTTAATGTGGACAGTGGGGTTCAAGAAAACACAGTCACTCAAAACACTTTTCCATGCTTACTCCAAATTTTCCTTGACCTTTTCAAAATATCATTTTTGTCTAGGAAGAGTTTTAATTCCTATTTATGGGAAAATGTCAAAAATTCAATTTTGACCACTCTACTAAGACTTTTATTTCCTAACTTGGCTCCTGCAGTTTTCATAATGAAAGGAAGACCACTGTTATATTTTAGAGAAGACTCTGATACAGAAGGAAACATTTAGAATTAGAAAATAATTTAGGTTGCAATCAACAGAGAAAGTCATTATGTCCAATCTCTGTCTCCCTCAGCAGGGCTAATGAGTCAGGTGAATAGCTGACTACTCATTCTGGAATTGATTATACCAGGGGAATAACAAGATAGTAGCTACAACTAATTAAGGAACTTGATTATCCTCCTGTCTCTGAAATACCTGATGAAAAAGTAAACTTAATTTTATAAACTTATCAAATATCAGAATTCAATTTTTCATATTTAAGAAAGAAATCTACTCTCAGTCAATTCTTGCGTTCACTGCCATCATGGGTTTCTGTTTCCACATGAAACAGAGAGGTGATTGGAGAGCTCTGTAAAGCAGTATTGACATAATTACCTTAAATTAAGGTTCCAGGTAGAAAATAATTTTCCATTTCCACTGTCTTAACAAAATAATATTTGAGGTTGTTACAACAGTTATTTGGTACATTTAACAGAATCAGCTATTTTCTCTATTTTAGCAGCTGTCTATACCAGCCACTTTTGGAATGTCACTTTCCTGCTCTGAAGGAAGGAATCTCTACATTTTCCCCCAGATATTCCACTAATAAAACTGCAGCCTGCTTTAGTAAGAAAAACATAATATCCTCCAAGAGCTTATTTGGAACTTGGCTGCCCTTCTCTAATATTAAAGGAACAGTATTCTTTAAACTTGGCTAAGCAATTTATATTTTTCCTGAGCTTATGAGAAAGTGAGAGTGGAAAACTGCTGGAGGACATCTGCTCAAGATCACTACTGCAAAAGCTCTGGAGATGTCTGGTAACTCCATACAACAAAAGCAGTTCCTAGTGAACCTTTACAACTGAGCTCTACTTACAGAAAAACCATCGATAATCTGATTTGCTTCAGTGGATTGTGATAGGCTCACCATGCAAAGACATTCTTTGTGATAATCCTCTTGTAATACAACTAACACCACCACTAAACAGTTAAGCTTTCAATTTTAAGGATTAGTACTTGAGCTGCAACCCACCACTAAGTCAGAAGTAAAAGAGGAGAAAATAAGGAGAAAACTTATTGAGAAATCACCCTTGGAGTCACCTACTTATTATGATTTTTTTTCCTCTGAACCTGGCATATTTGTGGCCTGCTTAGAGCACAGTTTGAAAAAAATGCTAGAATCTCAAGTAGATCTTACTTTATTTGAAATTATTTCTGCTATTATTCTGAGTGCTCGGAAAATGGAATAAAACAATTAATGTGACACTTAGTCAAGTTTGTCTCAAACAGCTGTGCTTCCAAGTTCTTGATAAAAGACAAAAGAATAGAGAAAGAGTCAGTTTAGAGGCCAGAATTATGACTTGTGAACAACTGCAGTTTGTGCTAAGTCAGCCAACAGAATAACTTAAATTTGATAGTATGGAAATCGTGATGCTGAACAGTTCATTAATAACCAGTCAGACAAACCAGTGGTGAGGCTGGGGGAAGGAGTGCAAAGAAATTAAATGAACATTCCTTATTATGGGATAAGACCAAACCTTTCACAAGCCTATATAAGCTATGTTTCTCAAAGCACAGCACATAAATTATTAAATATGGTTATCACTTGTTTGTTCCTACACAACATTCCCAAGGAATTACACAGCAGTCATGGTCTACAAGAAGCAAAGATTATTGCTAAGCAATTACAGTACACACTCATGACACAGAATATTTGGACAAGAGGACTGTTTTCCTATACACCTTTAGCACTGCTACAAATTTGACTAACTCTGCGTTACAGAGTGCGAGCCAAGTTGCAGACACAGTGGTAGAGTTTCAGAGTTGCCCTAGGCAGGAGGAAGATATCACAAAAAAGACTTGGATAAAATTCATAGACCTCAGGTAAATACAGATATATTTTGCAGATAACTAAATATATATATACTCAAAGTAGAGAAAATGAACTTGAAACTCATAAAACATAAGTCAAAGGAAGTAATTTTGATGATAAAAGAGATAATCAGATGTAAAAGCCTACCAAAATGAAGAACTATTAGTGTCTATCAAAACCTCCAGACCAGGTACTCACATATGCGCCACTTTACTTCTGTTGTTAACCCTTTACTTTTATCACTCCTCTTTACTGACAGCATAATTTACTCCAAGGGATTAATAGAGAACATATAAAATAGCCTACTATTAGCTGAAAAGAATGCAAAAGAAATCAGTCAACACAAAATTTTCAGTAGACTATTGAGAAACACCGACAAACTTCCTTTCCAGTTTAACACTTAGAATCTTAAGCAATGATCTGGAAGAAAAAACAAAAAAGAGCATATTGCTAACAAGATTTGTGGACTGTTAAGCACAACAGCTTATTAAAAGCACAGGTAGCCTATATCTCCTCTGGGTAATGCACAGTCAGCCCATTTAAACTGCATGTTTTTTAATATCCAACAGCGCCAGTGTACGTGCGTGCAAATAAAAGAAGAGATTACATCAGAGAATGCAGTAGCATCTCAGGACTGGGCAGCAAGAGCAGAATAAGAAAAGTGATCAGAGGATGAGTAACTTTGTATGAGTTTCCAGGATGCCACTGCAGGGAGAACTGCTCTGGATGTGAGTGACAACCTTATTAGCACAGCTCTGTGACTGAGCTTATATGGCCATATGGTTGAAGAACCACACCTGGCTTATGGCCAAACCCTTTGAAGTGTGTGCCAAAATAAGTTCTCACTTGTCTAGACCAGGCTTTTAGATATGGCCAGAAATAGAATACTTCAGAATCAATGCATGTTGGTGCACTTAATAATTTAAAATTTCCTCCCATCCCTTGGACACCAAGTTGGCATTTGAGAATACATACAGGTTTGACTAAAGCAACATTTTGATTTGTGCTGGAGGTTTCTTGGAGCATTGCTTCAAAAGCTGACTCATATCTTAGAACAGTGTTTTCCTTTATTTAAAGTTCACTGAAAAGGTTCCTATGCAATATCATTAGCAATTTAAAGTGTCAAGAGTGATTAATTATTAAAGTGTGCTATGCCAAAACATGAAACTCTTGACTCAAGTACTGGCAAACCCTCAGCAATATTAACACTTTTAATTTCAGTGACTATTCACACCTGGTAAGAGAGTGGAAAGAAAAATTAATTCAATTTTTAACAAATCTAGTTTTTCATATATGTAACATTAAACAATCTAGTGATATTTCTAAAAAGCTCTTCCAAATCTCCAGTATTTTATACATCTGTGCATTTTAGAGCCAGCTCTGGTGTCTTTGACTTTGATAAAGTTTAAATATTTTTTCCTTCATTGCTTATCTCTGTGCTTCCTGCAGAAGCCTTTGGCATCCACCACGCTTCTGGCACCATGCAGCTCAGCTACATGTTTAGCTATGAACCACCTTCTTTTGTCTGAACCTGCTGCCTAGTAATTTGCTATCTCCACCCCTTCCTTACAAAGGATATCACTCCCCACAAGGAACAATAAATCCTTGTTCCCATCTATGCCACTTTTTATGGACCCCCACGTATTGTTCTGGAAAGCTGTCAAGCTTTACTGCTTACTGTGAGCTCAAGCCTGCCCGTTCTGTGCATTAACTCAGAACTATATCTCCTGCTTTACTAAAAGCCAGTTTAAATTAGGAACATTTTCTATTTCTAAGTGCAATTATCGCCTGTTGGGAAATCCTTCTGGATTTGTGGAACTGTTTGCAGTTTGCCATTGTCAAAGCTACCCCAAATAACTTATTTGCACTGCCAAATTTCACTCTGGTCATTTGATTTTTCAGTGTTGGGATGAGTAATTTGAGAGTGTGGCCTCAGCAGTAACAGATTCCTGTGAGAGGCCAGTAATAAGCCTGAAAAATGTTTTTTAGAAATCTAAAACGACAATACACTTGTCACTGTTATGCAACATGACCTCCTCTCAAAAATGCTGTGTTGAGTAATTCATCCACATATCTGCTAATGTTATTCTTTACACAAGTTAATTTAGTTGAGCTAGATGTCAGGCTTGCTTCCACCACATACCACAACACAAAATTTCTAGGAATACAGCAGGAAGAGTGAAGACAAACAAGACTGGGGTGGGGGGAAGATTTTGAGTCCTTTCAATTTAAATTAATATATTGTTTAAACACATGCACAATTAATTGCCTAGGCTATATTAATAGACTTAGAGTTTGAAAAGACACATTGCTATACACTGCCAAGACAGTTTTGGATATAAATTTTGGCAGGCTTTAAAAATATTCATACACCTCAACACTCCATAAAAGAAATGACAAAAAACAGTTCAAAGTGGGAGGAGCAGGATCTTACTAAATTATAGTACTTTGGGGTTTGCAGATTGTGAGTATTTATTAAATGCTTCCCTTTTTGCCTCCAGAAAAGGTCCCTTTTCACTGGCAGAGATTAATTATACTATGCCTACAAGTTATAATATCAAACTGGCAATACTGCACATGAAACACAGCTTCAGATAATTAAAAAAGCCCTTTAGTTACAGTCATTTAAGTGCAGAAAACACTTTTAGAAAGAGTTCTCTGCTAGTGCAGCAACACTCATTAGTTTTAAAATTAGTTCAGAAGGCTTAGAGAGGAATAGCCCTAGTTTGAGGGGCTGGTGGTAGAGTGCTATGAAAAAAAAGCAAAATTGTGATTTTGCCACTTTTGCAGTAGGAAGGTAGATTAATAAATCTCTGCTTTAGCTAACCTTGTTAATGGTAAACTGAACTGAAAGATAAAGGTTAAAGAATTAAAAAGTAACAGCACTTTCTCATGGCCTACTTTCTACTAGATTCCTAGTAGAAGAAGAAGAATTAGTACTCATGGAAGAAGTCATACCAGGAGATATGCCCTGTCTTGCTAATGGACAGATATGGTGCAAACAGATGCTGAGCTATTCCAATTTATTTGATTAATCTATAAACAGTTGTACACTTCATGCAATTAAAACAATAAGAATATTTCTGTCTTTTCGAATAGTTGCTACAGCATGGTAAAACCTAACACGGCAAGTACAAAGGAAATAAAAACATTGCATGGATGTGCTGAAAAGACATTGCCAATGGTCAGAGGCACGTATGTGGCACTGGCTTCAAGGAGAAATCTTTCAGTGTTTCTCTAAAAGTACATTATTCTTGGTATGCACATGTGAGAGAAAGCACCTTCTGCTCATAACATAAATATATCTACAGTCTGCCAGTCTAAAGGCTTTCTCAGCTTATCACATACACCCTTACACACACACTGCCTGCAGAACACCAGCAAGACCAAGGCAGTTCCTTGATTTCACAATTTGTTTTCGTGGCCTGAGTTTAGGACAAAATAAGTAATTTCCAAGTTCAGCAAAAAGTCTTCAGCTAAAGATTAGCTCTGCTACTAGTAGTTTAGCACTAGTACAAGGTGCTAAAGCAGGGTTCTTTTCCTTCCCCCAAAATTAGAACCACCAGTTGTCCCTACCCTTTCTCCTATCAACACCCCAATGGCCATTTTCCTCTTCTCCCAGCCCTGGTATAGTGCCCATATTTCATGATGTTATTTCCTAAGCCACATCCATGTGTAATTACACCTCTCAAAAGCCATCTTATTTTTGTCCTTCTGAGAAACACAGCATGACAGTTATGACTTGCCTTCAGGACACAGCAGTCATTTTAATCTACCTGCAAAATGGAGATTGAAAGGAGCCATGCATTTATACTTTCAAAAAAAAGCTTAGAAGCAGTATAATTTGAAAACAACTCTCCCCTTCTGTGTCAGGAGAGCTGTACTGTAACTTTTAAAACATAAAGCACCACACAGCACTGGACTCTTCTGTTTCTCACAGTGAGATATAAAAGTATCCCATAACAGCCACTCCCAGTATTTGCAAAGCAATGTAAATGCAGCAATTAATTCAAAGGAGGGAAAGTGTTTCATTAGGGATCAAACAGTGCCTAATGAAATGTGCTGTATTTTACTGATACCAAGATGATTCCAAACTTGCATTTTTAAAACAACTGAGACCTGGCAGCAAGAAGAAAAGACAATCTTGGCAAATTGGAGATAGTTATGATGGATGACAGTGAACTGAAGGTCTTACATGATTTCTGAAGGTTGGGAGGAAATTCACAGGACACAGAGCTGAAGGTAACCTATTCTCCACTAATACAACTCAGAATTACCTTAAATCAGTCAACCATTTGCAATTTTTTAAATCTTTTTTAAAATAGGAAACAAGGAAGATAAGGAAACTTGTCTGTCCTTTCATGAAGGAAAGAAACCCAACACACAAACAGATCACTATTTTATTGTTTTATGAAAAAGGTGGCATTTGTTGAATTCAAACATGAAGGTAGAGATCAGATCTAATAAATCTGAGTACACTTACAGAAACAAGGTTTTGTTTGTAAAGAACAAAAGGTAGCTATGGATTCGGGCAAGGGTGAGGCAGAGCTGCTTGCAGATATGCTGCTCTTTGTGGTATTCTGTAAAGCAATTCAGCAGAAAGGAACCTCATGTTTATTTTGATTTGCACCAAGATCAATATGACTGAAGGTGTTTCTAAGGAAAACTCCTCAGCAATAAGATCATATACCAGATGACCATGATGAGAAACTGATCTGCATTTAGACTGACTCTGCCTCTTACTCCTTTAAATAGTTTTATTTTTCAATTCAACACTTGTCCTCTTTCACAGAGAATTGTGCCTGAAGTGACTTAAACTTATGCAATGTCCACAGAATTCCTACTTAAGAATTTCACAAGTCAATACATCTCCAGCTTTTTCTGCAAATCCATGCAATATTATAATTAATTCAAACCTTAGAAATGTATATACCACTTCTGATTTCAAAGGAAACTACATTAAGAGTTTTAATTTTCAAGAAATTTTATGACATTTTGTTGTACTGCAAGAAAACAGAATTCCAATAAATAGTTCCTCAAACATATTAAATCACACAATTATCATTCTCCTGAAGACAATAAATAGTTTTCATTTTCAGAGAAGAGAAGGAAAAAAGAAACATGATGACTCAGCCTTGAAGTTAACTCAAACTACTCTGGTTTCAAGAACTCAAAAAGAAGTCCAATAACTAACTAGATAATAATTATTTATTAACATTTTTTATATTACCTTGGTGTAGCCAAGCAGTGCAGCAAGATCAAAGTAGATGTTGTGTGTTTTCCAACTTATTTCTGTAATCACAACTGCTGTCTCTAAGCAACCTCCAAATATAGTTGGGGATTTGATAAGTGCTCTATTTAGGCTGTTTTAGGAAATGTTTCCACTTCAAGCTATCTTTTGCAAACATTCAACAAAGTAAGTTCCTGTTAAAATCAAAATAATGTATTGATTTTGTCTCAGCTATAGAAATAGTAATTTTTCAGCTTTCTGTTTGAAAAACAAGTTATTTGAATAGAAAAATTGGTGTCAAACAGTTTAATTCTTCATTTTTCTGCAAAACTGAAGATAATGACAGTTCATAGGACTGTATTTATGCTTCCTCAGAATGCTGTTTCTCTTCAGCCACAAGTCCCACTTGGACACCGAGGAAGTCTTGCCTCATTACACTGGATTTCTGCAGTGTGCCTCTCCTAATAGAACTTTTCAGTCCCATATTTGTTCTACACTGATAACAACTTGTGCTTTATTTGACATCTCCTGTACAATATTTAGAGGTGCAAACAACAGTTATATTAATGAAAAAGAAAGCCTGATAAGGGACTCTGGTACAAATTAACAAATATTTATAAGAAATGGAAATAAATTCCGAAGAACTGCACACAGCTTTAACTACCTTCATGAGTGTAGAGAGTATTGTTTGTTCCTTGTATAGGATTTTTCCCCTTCTCCACACCCTCCCCCTTAGTTTCCTGCTTATTGAATGTGGCATCAATGATTTCCATAGTAAATGTTTAAGACAGGACAGTATTTATTGCAGCAAAACTGTATTTTTATCATGCAGCAATGCCATGCTCCATTTATTCTCATTCAGACACTAATCTATAAAAGTCATAGAAAGCACCTACATTTACTGTTACTTTTTACACATAACAGAAGCAAGAAACATCATGCTGCATGACAGGGAGCAGCAAGAAAGCATGTTTATCACTTATAAGCTTTTCAGCTGATTTACTGTTCTATGCTAACGTCACTAAGCACAAAAATACACTGTACTCACCAAATAAATTGCTTGAATGTCCTTGCTTAGATATGGGTTTCAGTTCATTTAATCCCCATGCGTAACGCTTATAATTATCCCAGGCATGCTTCATCATCTGTAGGGAAACCAAAGCAGGATTATGATGTTGATTTAGCAAGAAGCCACAGCAAACACCAACTTGAGAATATTCTCAATATTAAAAATATTTAATACAATTCTTAACCGAATTCCTGCTGTATGCATAGATCTGTGAAATATTCAATACAGAATAACAGTGGCACTGTTTTCCAGGTAGCAGTGGGACGGCTGCTAAAAGAATTACACAACTGTCCTCTCCACTTTTGTTACCTGCAAGCTTATGGTCAAGACACACTCAAAAATAATCAATTTTTAGGATGGGAGTTCATTGGGTCATATACCAATTCAATTGAGATTTTATTTCCCTTAAGCATACATCTCAGAAACTGAGGAAAGTAACATTTTTAAAGAAGGTTTTCCCCCTAGAACCTTTAGATTCTTTAAGGTGAACATAAAGCTTTCAGTAGTTTTCAGATTCTCTGGCAGAGACCTGCTTGCATAAAATGAGCTGGTTCAAACTCAGCACAGCTAGTAACAATAGAAGGATGGTAAAGTGGGCAGGCAGAACACCTAGAAAATGTTTTGAGGTTTGTACAATACAATCTTTTATCACTATAAATGCATCTGTAGCTACTTTCACGTGTCATTTTGCACAAAGAGACGAAAACCTTTACAACTTAACATATCACCACCAAATCACATTTTGCACAAGAAAAGGTGCACCACAGATAAATACTGCTTTGGGAAACAGCCTTGCAGAGCCCAGCACAGCAGTGCTGTGGTAAGAGCAGGGGGCATCCACACGGAAGTCAGGGGAGTGGGTTGACTCAGGAAAGGCTCACACTCTCTACCACCATCACCAGGCATATCTGGTGTGATCTGTCTTTTGTCAGTGGTCCAGGTGCATGTCCAGGAGCCCACGTGCCCCTCCCCAAACGTCTGGTGAGAAGAATGCACACAGCTCTGCAGGCCTGGTGACAAACCACTGCCACTCCAGCAGGTCCAACACCTCTCCTTGGCAACCACCAGTTTTAACACCTGCTCAGGGATAGTCTTCTTTAAAGGTCACCACAAGCAGCATTGCTTTATGTAACAGAAAGAAAGATTTTGCCACCTTGCTGCTCTTCCTCCCCTCTTCCACAAGGCAGAGTAGTGCTGGAAATGCCAGAGGTCATCATCTAGACAAAAAGTGACAATTTCAGACCTTTTCAGAGATAGTGCTTCAGGCTGTCAGATGACAACACTGCTCTGTCCTTGCTTTTAGATCTCTTCTTGAGGCCTTGTGTGTCAAGGATAATTTTGTTAAATAACAGTTATAATCCTAAATTTAAAAGCAGCAGCCTTGGGACATGCTGATAATAGTAATCCTGCACTTTCTCCTTTCCTCTTTCCTTTGCTCAAATCTCAGAGAAATTATGTCAATTAAAAATCTGCATTAAGCCATACTATAACAAATGACAACAGATTTTTTAGAATACTGCCATACTCTTGAGAATAAACATTTCTCCACTATTAATGGGAAAAAAAATGCACATCTATCCTGCAGGAAAATTCACAGATGTTAATCTACACTACAGGTCCAGCTTTACAAATACAAAAATTGGCAATGGCACTTAATATGTGAGCATTTTCAAGCAAAAGATTAGCCTGGTGTCAGATCTCAGCCGAAAGGCAAGTCAGAGGCCCTGTGGAAATGGTCTTGGGCCATGGATAGCAGTGATATGTGGGATGGAATTGCCGCCATCCATGGTCTGAGACCAGCAGGAGCTGTTTCTGTTGCTTGACTTCATTGCAGAATGGCTTAGGAGCTCTCCCAAGATGGGGCTTTTGGTCTCAAAGCAGAACTGGTAATAGGCAGCCAACTGGCAGGCTTTATGACTATGGGCTCTTCTCAGTCCCTGGTACAAGGATCAAGACTGCATGAAACCAATCATTTGTCCACAGCATATTTTCTAATTTACCAATTGAAATTTTCTGGTAGTTTGCCTGTTGTACAAGAATGACTTATTCTGCCCTGCCATCATATCCCAGACCTGCAAGCTCAGCTTTAGATATCAACATACAAACTCCCAGAGATTTCAGGAGGCTAAATCTTAAGCTTTGTCAAAGCTTATTTTCTCATGCAATCACATCAGAATCTTTTCATTTGCTTAATCTTAATCAGGGCACACCACACAAAAGGGCTTTTTTTAAATTTAAATAAACTAAACTTGTAATTAAGTGGCTTGAATCAAAGGGCCTAAAGATGTAGTACTATAATAACATTATAATTGCTCAAGCCACTACCAACATTGTTCTTCCCTTTTTCCCTCCTTTTTCTCCTAGCTCACTTATGCTCCTCCTCTTGCATAAGAAATGCAGTGTTATCTATTCCCAAACCAAGTCAGTTCAGGAAACAGAAGCTTCTGCAAGTGATATTCTTGTTTTGAGTCTCAATTTTGTCTTGTCAGATTCCCCAAATCAGATTGTCATGGGTATCAGTTACCAAGAGGGAAAGGCAGGAACAGCTCCAGACTGGTTCAGTCCAGCCACAATAGTCACAAAGTGTGTGATGCTACAAGATGTTCTAGATGTAATCACTTTCCTTTAGTTTTTCCCCATGGATTGACACTTCGATGATATTGTATCATAAATGTATGCATGACTTGGTAGCAGAAAGCACTCTGATTACCCTATAGCTCATCACCCCCTAGCTAGTAAGACAACCCAGGAAGATAACCCAGACAGTAGACCACTACCTTCTAATAATATTTATTATTGTATGCCAATGAACATCAGATGGGTTGTTGGGGTTTTTTGACAAAAATTTCCTCCCATTCTGCTAACTACTCAGGTACACTTATCTAATTGCTTCCTAGGAAATTACAATGTGTGGATTCCACAAGCCAAGCAGACAAGAAAAAAAAAAAAAACAACAAAACCCCCAAACAAACAATAAACCAAAAAGCAGTGCTCTGCCTAAACTTAAGGAAATATTCCAGTATGAAAAACCCTACCAGAATTCACTTAGCAGATCAAATTCATCTCTTTTGGCTAATCAAAGTATTCTTCAGAACTCTTCCAGAAAGCCTAGATTTAGACAAAACCACTGAGGTTAGTGAGCAAATTTACTCCTAAGAAAGGACATCCTTGCTCAGACATTTGGAGATTTATGGACATACACTGAAAGCAAAAGGTAGCTCCAAAAGCAGTCAGTGAGCCCTCTAGTGTTTCAAAAGAAACGAGTCATTCCAACCAGACACAACCGTGAATGGCTCTTTACAAAGAAGTTATTAGCTCGTAGTGTTACTGTGTGCCTGGGCAAAGAGCCCGCAGACACAGCAGCCAAAGAACCCTACCTTAATCAACACTGCCTTGCTACACAAGCCACCTTGGGCATCTGACCTATCAAGAAGTCTCAATTTCTAGGATTCATCTTCATTTCTAGGATACATCAGAAATACTCTACTGTGGAAATTACAAAACCATATTGAGTTTCCCGCTACATTAACTTCCTCTCTGTAAATAGCTTCATTTTCTATGTAAGAATGAAAAGGTTCTAAAATATTGAGGAGCAATTTTAATTGACCCAGCTCACCAAGGTAATTCTTTGCTTAGGCAAAGCTCCTAGTACTGGTATTTCAGAAATTAATTTTAACAGGTTTTTTTGAGAAATCCATCTATCTTTGCAGTCTTCACCTTTTTGTTTGCACGGGATATCATGAAATCATTGCCTCCTGATTTTTTTTTGGTAATTCAAGAGTCTTTTGATCACATCTCTGACTACTTGTACAAGTGCTGTTGATCACTTGAAATTTCTAAAGATCACAGTTCCTGAGAACATCTGGTATATCAACACAACATTACTGATGATGTTAAAAAGAGAAATTCCCAGTGAGGGAGACTCCAACAGCTTTTGACTAAATGATTCCTGATACTCTCAATCTCCTCTACAGTATAACTAACACAATTATTTCAAATAATTACATATTAACCTTCCAGGATGTTAATAGGCAGAGTTATATTTGCATAGAAGCATCCCTCAGTTCTTCCAGTTTTACTACATATTTAAAAAAAAAAATATCCCAGAATGGTTGGGATAGGAAAGGAGAGACGATCTGTAGATCAACCACTTCCAGCCTCCGTGCTAAAGCAGGTTCACCCACAGCAGGTTGCACAGGATTTTGTCCAGGCAGGTTTTGAATATCTCTAGAGAAGGAGAATCCACAACCAGCAGCTTGTTCCAGTGCTCTGACACTCTCACAGTAGAGATGTGTTTTCCTCACCTTTAGATGGAACTTCCTCTGTTTCTGTTTGTGCCCACTGCAACTTATCTTGCTCCCGGGCACCACTGAAAAGCCTGACCCTGTCTTGACCTTAAGATATTTGTATGCATTGATAAAATCCTATCTCAGTTGTCTCTTCTTCAGGTTCAACAGGCCCTTAGCCCTTCCTCATAGCAGTGAGATGCTTCAGTCCCTCATCATCTTCGTAGCCTTTTGCTAGACACTCTCCAGTAACTCCTTGTCTTTCTTGAACTGGGGAGCCCAGAAAGGTTCATTGAACCTCAAACTCTAGAACAGACTAACAGCTCTTTCTCTGTGAAAGCAGAGAATAAATAAAACCCTTTTCTACAGCCATAATATTGGCCAACTAAAAGATGATGATAATGCACTCCCATTTGTTGGTATTTTAGTTACTGTCACCTTTCAAAGCACTCTAACACAACACCTAGAGAGGACATATAAGTCACTTGAAATTTGCAAAATACAGCTCTATTCAAACATTGACAGAAAACAACAGCGATGCTGAATCAGCAGAGTAAGAGTGGTGTTTAGATGGAAACCCTTGCAGTACCAGGTGGAGTGAAAATAATAACTTAATAAGGTTTATTTTTAGCGGTTACATACAAGTGGGGGAGATGCAAAAGAGGATGTCAGGAAAAGAATTAAAGCACCTTTTAGAACTGGGATATTAAAGGAGAAAAAGGATTAATTGCATGAAATAGTACCATCCTGACCTTCAACAGAGCCATTTAAGTCTTGCCAACAGAGGAGG